TAAAATAAAATAAACAATAAAAGGTGAATCAAATAGACCATTACGTCAAGGCTGGGATGGTCCATTTGGTAAAGTAAATCCGTTGGGCATCTTTCTTCACCTTTAGACAATAATTCTAATGGCAAAAGAGCCAAACAAAAACACTCCACAAATCCTGTGAATGATTCATTTCCTCATAAACCATCCAGTCTTTGAGTGATGATGTATGAACCCTGCTTCTGGGTCCAAACTACTCTGCGTTTATTGAGGCCGTTGTGTTTTTAACATATTTTAATTAGAAGTGTGAATTTAAAGCACTTAAAAAAAGTGCATTTAAGCGCAACTTTTGTCAATGCACAATTACTGGCATACTGACTGCAGGACTGATCGGAGTCAAATTTCATTTCAAAAGACTACCCAAAGGAGGACTTGATAAAAGCGTGGTTTTATGCAAACAAAAATCTGCATACCACCGAAGCACTTCAACCTTGTGCTACCATCTAAATGCAAAAGATGTTGCAGCGAGCACAGAAACTGTGGGAGCTGTTAGAGCTAGCAGTCCGAGTACCAACAAAAGGTGTCGGCAGCCCAAACTTGATGAAATGACTGGCTTCAGGACCACAATTAGTAAGTCAACATCAGACAAACTGACAAATGGACTGCAGAGCACTATCAGTGGTAGAAGATAGGTTATTAGAAAACGTGATAGTCAGGTGATCCATCTTTCCAACTGCCATGTCGAAAGACTATTTCAAGTAAAATTCAACAGCTTTATGACACTAAAAAGCAAGCCAAATTGGATGCATTACAGAAAATCCTGCTAATATGGAGGAACAAACAAACAGGAGCAAACAAGACTGGAGCAACAGAAAGATCCACTCATACAGGATGTTTCCACACGGTGAAATTCAACGATGAATATAGTTTCTTGCCTACTAAAGAATCAAGAGGCTTTTTTTTGCTGCTTTAGATAAACAAAAGCACCAACTAGTCATTTTTACTCCATCAGAGCTGATAAAACTCCAAAAGCTGGTGACTGTAGTTGAGCCATGCAGGTAAATAAAACAATTTTTTAACATGTTGTTACTGTTTCTTCAAAAAGCTCTATAGTTGACAGTTATTGTGGAGATTAATAATTACTTTCTTGAACTGTCTACTACAGGTTTGTGACTGAGCTTCTTGGAGGTGAGACATATGTCTCATCTTCAGTGGTTTTACCTCCTTTCTGCCACCTGCATCACACCATGGAGGTCAAATAATCATTTTACATCAAGTAACTTTCCAATTCAGGGTTTGGGGATGACTGGATCCTTACATGAGAAAATATTACAGATATTGTTTTGTGGAGGTCAAAGGTCAAAGCTATTCTTAGTACACAGAGACGTAACCAGTTTGGCTTTCAATAAAACAAAAAAAA